GAAGGAAGGAAGGAAGGAAGGAAGGAAGGAAGGAAGGAAGGAAGGTAGGTTTGACTTTTACAGTCATAGAACCAGTCAAGACATCTGGGTATGACATCTTGGAGCAGCTGACACTGCTGCCCAATGACAGAGTAAGTGGGGGTGGTAACCTGCCATCACTTCATGTTCTCAAAACAAACTGAAGAAGATGCTGTTTCTAAGCTGAGCATGGCTGGCTCACATCCTAGCTTCTTAAGAGGCACAGATCTGAGGATCAAGGTTCGAAGCCAGCCCAGACAGGAAAAGCCATGAAATGTTTATCTTCGATTAACTACCAAAAGCTGCAAGTGGAGCTATGGCTCAAAGTGATAGAGCACTAGCCTTGAATGAACAAGCTCAGGAACAGTGCCTGAGCCCTGGGCTCAAGCTCCAGAACTGACACAAACCATCAAACAAACAAACAAACAAAACTCTATTTTAGAGATCTGGGGGTGAAATGACCCAGGTCACTTAGCCAGACAGAGAAAAGAGAGACAGACAGACAGAAGTGGGGGGCCCTGGACTGGAAGCCCAACAGCCCCAGTGCCAAGGTGCCTGCAGGAGTGTAGGGCTTGACTCTTACCAAAACCTAGTTAGTGACTTGCTTGCTTACCTGGGACCCTCGTGTCCCAGAATCACCCGGGATTGGGGGAATCAGAGCTGTCCAGCCTGGGCCTCTGTTCCCATGTTGAAGTTACTGCCTGGCATCTTGGAGTATTCACGCTGGCCTCTGGCAATGGCTACACCCCACACTGGCAGAAAATCACTCAGCCCAGGGGGAGAAAAGGGGACAAAAGGTCAGGCCACCATGTGGCTACCACTTACCTGGGCGTGTCCAAGGCCCGGATGACGGCTGAAAGGAGCTGGCCATCCCTTGAAGTCACCTGTGCCACATACTGGGGTGGCCCAAGGCCAGTGGCCTCCACCACCTTGGAGAAGGCGGGGCTTCCAGAGCAGTCACACAGGGAGCCCGGGAGGTGGCAGCAGTCGCCTGTCGTCATGGCCACAGGGAGCCTGTGTCCTCAGGGCCCGAGGCCCATGGTCCCAGGAGCCTGGAGAGAGTCCAGCAGAGCGATCAAGGGGCAAAAGTAGTGAGCCCAATGGAGTAGAGTTGTCAGGACTGTAGCAAACATGCAAAGAGACTTGACTGAGCCTCGTTTGTCAGATCTGTGAAATAGAGCTCTGTTACAGAGACTGGAGGATTCTATGCCTGGCAGGCAATAGAGGCTCAAGGGAAAAAAAAACAATCTCTCTTTGTCCTAAGACAAGGCAAGCAAGCCAGGTGCCAGTGGCTCACGCCTATAATCCTAGCTACTCAGGAGGCTCAGATCTGAGGATCACGGTTCAAAGCTAGCTCAAGCAGGAAAGTCCCTGAGACTCTTATCACCAATGAACCACCAGAAAACTGGAAGTGGTACTGTGGCTCAAGTGGTAGAGTGCTAGCCTTGAGCTGAAGAGCTCAGGGACAGCACCCAGGCCCAGAGTTCAAGCCCCAAGAACAACAAAAAAGAAAAGAAAAGCAAGCAAGGTTCCACCATCTAGGCCTGAGGCCTAGAGGAAGTTTTCACATGAACTTTCCAGACTTGGGAACAGCATTTGACAGTTATTGAGCACTTCCTATGTGCTGGATCCCAGGGGAGGCCAGAACTATGCTAGATCCACCAATCATTGTAGAGGGAACTCCTAGAGTTGGGCTCTCAGCATGTGAGCCAAGGGCCTGGAGGTGTAGCTGGTGATAGAGCACTTGCTCAGCATGTTCAAGGCTGTAGGTTCTCTCTCCAGCACCAATAAAAACCAAAACAAAACAAAAAGGAAAAGAACAGAGCTATAAACTTGGCCTCATGGCTGGAATGGTGAGTCACTACTCCGATCTGGCCATTTGTCAGGCCATGCAATGATACTTCAGGCCATCAAGGAAGTGGCCCAGGCCAGGCAAGTGGGTGGCAGCCTCTGTCCTCTCGGCTACAGGGAGACAGTGGGAGCCTTAGGTAGCAATTATGAAGTCCATTCTAGATGACTTCTGGAGAATTCTGCTTTCTGGCCCTGATCTGACCAACAAAAAGAAACTTCTAAGTGGAAAGTCAGGCATGGCTGGTCATGCCTGTAATCCAAGCTATCCAGGAGGAAGAGAATAGGAAGATCCCAGTTTGAGGCCATTCATGGCAAAAAGTTAGCAAGATCCCCATCCCAACCAAGAAGCCAGGCACAGTAGCACCTATCATCCAAGCAAGGTAGGAGACAGTTGGGAAAGAGGACTGAGGTCTGAAGCTGGCCCAGGATAAAAAGTGTAAGACCCTATCAGAAAAAGAAATAAAGCAAAAAAAAGGCTGGGGACATGGCTTGAGTAGCAGAGTACCTGGTTAGCAAGCCTGAGGCCCTGACTTAAAGCCCAGTACCAAAATAAACTGAAGGAATCTTAGCACCTTTCTGTACCTTAGAGCCAAGCAAGTAAGTCTTGGTGTAGGACTTTCCAATCCCTATGTGCATTTTCCTCTGAAAATTTCAGGAGAGGAAAGAGGCCTGTCCAGAGGCCCCTTTTGACACCAATATAGGTGCTCCAGAGCCTAGAATCACAGTCCCCTAACCTGTCTTGTACAGAGCCCAGAGTAACATGCCCAGTATTCAGAAACTCCCAAATGACTGGACCTGTCAGCCCTTACTTGAAGTATCATCTGATTTCAAGTCACCTTTTAACTATTTAAACTGGAAACCAAAAAGAGAGACCCAAGACACATTATGGATAGATTACATTTTAGTGCTCAGACCGAAGCACAAGATGCTCTGCTGGCCTTCACAGCTGGGCTACCACAGTCCAGATAAGCAGGTATCAGGCAAAGTCCAGAGGAGCCCAGGAGGAAGCTGGAAGCCTGAGATAACATGGCTGCTACACACGTATGCTACAGTCCCTAGCCCAGGCTTTGGGAGCAAAACTTCCAGCACAGAGATCAGTAGGAAAACAGCTCAGCCCTCTCAAGCCCCTCCAAGTGCACAGAAGTCCCAACCTTCTGCCCTTTGATCGTCTAAGCATTTCTTCAAGCAATTAAACATAACAAAAATCAGGGGCTGGGAAGGTGGCTCAGTGGTAGAGTGCTTGCCTTGAGCTGAAGAGCTGAGGGACAGCACCCAGGCCCACAGTTCAAGGTCCCATGACCAGACCCCCCCAAAAAAAATCATCATGGTGCCCATAGTAGTAATGCACACCTATAATCCCCGCATTAGGGAGGTGGAGACAAGAGGATTTAGAGTTTCAGGCCAGCCTGGGCTACATAGTAGCAAAACACAAAACCAAAACCAGGCACAGCGGGTGACTCTTGGAACCCCAGCTCATCAGAAGGTGGAGCTCAGATGGATTACAGTTTGTGGCCAGCCAGAGCAAAAAGTTAGTGAGACCCTATGTAAATCAACAAGCCAGGTGTGGAGGGGTGCACCTGCCATCCCAACTATGCAGGAGGACGGGTGGGAGGACAGAAGTCTGAGGTCAGCCCCAGGCAAAAACTTAAGACATTATCTGAAAAATAAGTAAAGCAAAAGAGGCCTGGGGCATGGCTCCAGCACTAGACGTGTGACTCAACTGGTAGAGCACCTGCCTAGCAAGCTGTAAGTCCTGAGTTCAAACCCCAGCACTACGAAGAAAAAAAATATAATATCTAGATATCATATGTATATAATATATATATATCTCAACATCACAGGTCATGTATGTTAGAAACTATGAGCTGAAAGAAAATCTAAACACTGATAAATCTGTTAATGTCAGTATTACAAATCACCAAGCTTGAAATCATAGGAAAGGGATTTTGTTTTGCTTTGTAGTCTTGGGCTTGAACTTGGGGTCTGAGCACTGTCCCTGAGCTTTTTCAGCTTGAGCCTAGTGCTGTACTAGGAGCCACAACTCTACTACCACTGTCCCACCTGAGCCATACCTCCACTTCTACATTTTTGCTTCTTCATTGGAGATAAGAGTCTCATAGACTTTCCTGCCTGGGCTTGCTTCAAACTGTGATCCTCAGCCTCCTGAGTAGCTAGGATTACAGCTGTGATCCACTAGGCCCTGGCTTCACAGGTTTATTAAAGGTTTATTACAGATGATACTGTCTCAGCTCATGGAACTCAGACACAATTGTTTTAAGTATTCCCTTCAAAGGTCACCTCCCTGAGAAAGAAGCCTTCCCCAAGCACTCTGGCTAAAACGTTTTCACGTCTACTTTACCCTCCCGCCCCAATGAGTCCCTCTATCTGTTCTTCCATCCACTTCCCACACTTCAGTACATTCTGGAAAGGAGGAAGCTGGTGAGACCTGATCCCTGCCCTGTGTCTGGCACACAGTGGTCATAGACATGCTTGTTGCATGTCTCAGCCCAGACACAAGCCAAATACTTGGGTTTAGATGCAAGATTTAGGTGATGGCCAATTAGTTCTAGGACCTCTGAGATGGGTTTTTATCAATTCTTCACAATAAAACCATGAGTCTAAATAATTAACCCCCTTTGATGGAAGAGGCTCATTAAGGCTCAGAGAGGGGCCCCTAATAACCCAGAGTCACACAGCCACAAAAGATTTGTTCTTTTTTTTTTGCTGGTGTTGAAACTTGAACTTGGGGGCTGGGAAGATGGCTCAGTGGTAGAGTGCTTGCCTTGAATGCTTGAGGCCCTGGGTTCAATTCCTCAGCACCACATAAGCAGAAAAAAAGCCAGAAGTGGCGCTGTGGCTCAAGAGTACTAGCCTTGAGCTGAAGAGCTGAGGGACAGTACCCAGGCCCAGAGTTCAGGCCCCACGACCGGACCCAAAAAAAAAAAAAA